CGCTTGAAACTATCGGCAACTCTCTTTGTCGTCTCAGCGGCTTCCGGTTTTCGATTTCCCCCCGATCCAGACTTCCTGGCTGTCGACAAACGTTCCCCAAACACTTTAATTACATTTGTAACGGTTGATTTGGCAACTTTTAGCGATTTTGCCAACTTTGCGTGCGAGTAGCTCGGATTTTCGCGATGCGCGAGCAAAATTTTGATACGCTGCTCTTCTTGCTTGGACGGCATTTTGACAACTGAAGAGTGAATTCCAAAATCAAAATAGGAGCAATATTCTACACACACACACCTTCAAAATGAGGAGTGTTCAGGTTTTTTAAATGCAAAATTGAAAGAAATACGTCAAGTTGATATTGACCAAATTTTGACCGTATCACCCTTTATTTATGAATCCTTTTTTATCTTGATTGTTGTTTCTCTAGTGAACTTAGCAAGCAGGTAGGGTAAATGGCTCGGATTTATTGTTTCCAAATAGCTTTTATTGTAGCTTAAATACGGGTTTGAAATTGATCTCAATGCGTAAATAAATCTTGAAGAGCTTCGAAAATATACCCTTCAGAACCTTCTCCAGGGTGGGCCAACTAGACAGATTCTAGCAAAAATGAGGTTTTTGGTGGATGCATCAATGGCAAAGCAGTCTTGACCAGGGTTTTATGAATGTTGTTTTCTAGTAGCTTTGTAGTATTTTATAAAACTTAAAATGTTACTTGGGATGATTTGGTGTGCGATTTAACATGCTATAATATATATCTAAATATATAAACGCGATGTCATCCGGTTTTCTAAAATTTAAAATGGCGTATTTCGGTTTACGAAAAAAAAATAAAAAAAAATAAATTAAATGGGGTATTTTAGGAAAAAAAGACATGTACAGGTCACCGTAGTGATGATTGACGGCATTTTGAATTCCAATTAAAGCTTTCAGTTTTTTTTTAAATATCGATGGCATCTGCCGGTTTTATGCAAACTGCCAAAACTCTACTATTAGGTTGTTTTGATCTTATCAGTGCTGAGATTTGTCATTGTCATTGACAGACTTTCACGTGATATTGATTAAATTGTTTGTCACGTACACATCAAACAATTAATTTCAATATCACATCAAAGTGGATGCACTTCAATCGTGTCGAAAATATGAGTCAGTGACTCAGGACAGTCTTCTAATAAAAACAGTTAACGGCACATTAAAGTCAAACAATGCATAGACGGCATTAAACGCGTTTTCGACGGAATGGATAGGTTCATTCAACCCATATTACGGATTACGAGCTGCAAGATGTACAAAATTAAGCTTTCTAATCACTCGCAGGTGCGTAAAAGAAAAGCTGCCGAAGTAATTCGGGGGAATCAATCTCGCTGGTAATGATCTTAGCAGCAAACACAGCTTGAGCGTTCGGTCTTCTTTGTTCCATGGTTTCAATTAAAAGCAGACGACAGCGATCCACTTAAGACGGCAAGTTAGCCGTGTCACGCCAAGGCAGATGACGAAGTGCGTAGCGAACAAACTTTCTCTGTACACTCTCAAATCTGGCTATCCAGAATGCTTGGTATGGGCACCAGACGACAGCACTATACTCTAAGATTGAACGTACTAACGAACAATACAGCGCCCGCAGGCAAAGCGGATCGCGAAAGTCTTCAGATATTTTGAACATAAAGCCAAGCTGCCTGTTAGCTTTAGTCAGGATGTTTGTAGTGCGGTTAGAAAGTCAATTCATAGTCGAGTGTTACTCCCAAATCTTTGATCTGGCTAATCCTCTCTAACGTTTTCCCGGAAATGGAATAAAGGGTGATACGGTCAAAATTTGGTCAAGGGAAAACGCGTGTAAATCGGTGAAATCGTTTATTTAAAAAATCAAATTAAATTTCTTTTTCAAGTTCAATTAGTATAAAATTCAGGAAAAATATTCAGTTAGGCTTCCGCTTTTCCAAATCCGAATTGCCGGGCCTTACGCTTGACCCCTGCCATCAGATTTTGTACAGCCACCTTGTCCACCTTCTTCTCCGCAGAAAGCCAGTTTGCCTTGAACTGCTGCTCGCCCTTAGCAGTTTTTTTGGTCTTCTTTAAGTTCCGCTTGACAATAGCCCAGTATTTCTCAATTGGGCGGAGCTCTGGCGTGTTGGGAGGGTTCTTGTCCTTGGGAACCACCTGCACGTTGTTGGCGGCGTACCACTCCATGGCCTTTTTACCGTAATGGCAAGATGCCAAATCCGGCCAAAACAGTACGGAACAACCGTGTTTCTTCAGGAAAGGCAGCAGACGTTTATTCAAACACTCTTTCACGTAAATTTCTTGGTTGACAGTCCCGGAAGCTATGAAAATGCTGCTTTTCAAGCCACAGGTACAGATGGCTTGCCAAACCAGATATTTCTTTGCGAACTTTGACAGTTTCATGTGCTTGAAAACATCTGCTACCTTTCCCCTTCCGTTTGCCGTATAAAACTCCTGTCCCGGAAGCTGCTTGTAGTCGGCTTTGACGTAGGTTTCGTCGTCCATTACCACGCAGTCAAACTTCGTCAGCATCGTCGTGTACAGCCTCCGGGATCGCGCTTTGGCCGTCGTATTTTGTTTATCATCGCGATTTGGAGTCACTACCTTCTTGTAAGTCGATAGTCCGGCTCGTTTTTTGGCTCGATGCACGGTTGTAGACGATACACCCAGCTTATTTGCGGCATCTCGGAGAGAGAGGTTAGGGTTTCGCTTGAAACTACCGGCAACTCTCTTTGTCGTCTCAGTGGCTTCCGGTTTTCGATTTCCCCCCGATCCAGACTTCCTGGCTGTCGACAAACGTTCCCCAAACACTTTAATTACATTTGTAACGGTTGATTTGGCAACTTTTAGCGATTTTGCCAACTTTGCGTGCGAGTAGCTCGGATTTTCGCGATGCGCGAGCAAAATTTTGATACGCTGCTCTTCTTGCTTGGACGGCATTTTGACAACTGAAGAGTGAATTCCAAAATCAAAATAGGAGCAACATTCTACACACACACACACCTTCAAAATGAGGGGTGTTCAGGTTTTTTAAATGCAAAATTGAAAGAAATACGTCAAGTTGATATTGACCAAATTTTGACCGTATAACCCTTTAATTAAATATTATCGAGTTTTGTTTGCGGTGAAATGAGACCACATTGCACTTGTTGATGCTGAGCGTCAAGAAGTTAAGGGAGCACCAACTCTGCATACGATCCACAATCAGCGATGCAATTGTTAACCACATACATTTTGACATCGTCAGCGTAAAATAGCCGGCATCCAGGTGGCAGTACACACGAAAGCTCGTTGACGAAAAGCGAAAACAGAAGGGGTCCCAAATTACTTCCTTGGAGAACGCCGGAAACGTTAGTGAACACTTCAGAACGAGAAGCTCCAATCTTAACGCAAAGCGAACGGTTCGTAAGGTAAGATTTGAACCACGAGATGAAAGATCCAGACACTTCGAGTTTCTCAAGCTTGCTTAAAGGAATGTTGAGGTCTACTCGGTTAAATGCAGCCTTGAGATTAGTGTAAACAGCGTCGATTTGTCCACCAGAGGTCCGAACAAAAAAGCGACACGAATTCGGTAAAATTGGTTGTAACTGACCGTTTTGGGTAGCATCTATGCTGAGTCGTGGAGATATAATTTTTACAAGAGATGAAGATCGCCTCATTGATGATGATCTCGAATACTTTGGAGCAGTAACATAGTGATGTGATGCATCTGAAATTCTGGACATTCCTTTTATCGCCTTTCTTGTGGACGGGGAACATATACGAAAATTTCCACGTCCTGAGGCTCTCCTGTAGCGACAGATTAAATAACATCACCAAGGGAGAGAGCAACTACTCCGAAAACAGCTTCAGAACGGACGCAGGAATGCCGTCTGGCCCGGCAGCAAACGAGAGTTTCAACCTTTGAAGTGCTAGATTGACGGTATGTTCACTGAGCTCAAATGCATCTCTTGGAGAGTCGCGTATAGCAATCGTGACTTGATTTGGTGATTCATTGAACGAACTCATGAAATGTTGAGCAAAACGGCGGCATTTCTCCGGTTCAGATTCAGTGGATTGCTCACCGAGATGAACTGACAATGGCAAACCGACTTCGTTCTTTTAAGAGTTTACAAACGACCAGAAACGCTTTGGATTTATGCGAAGAGATGATTGCGTACGAAAGATACAGGAATCTGTTGTATTTCCTATAGTCGTTACTTGTGCGGTTGAACTCCTGCTTCGTAATGTACGAACGATTTTGGCAGTATCTTCGTAGCGATTTACCCCTATACCGTAAGTAGTTCAGCACGTAGATGCTTGTTCACTTTAACGGCTCCATATAATTTTTTTGCTCAAGTCATTTAATTTCGTTACAAATTTAGCTACTAAAAAAAATTGCACATGTTCGTCAATGACAGCATTGTCACTGATAATTGACATGGTTTGCCTTGACGATGACTGTTAGTTCAAATGAGTGACCAAAGCAGAATTTTGAATAATGCCGTGAATTTTCGAGATTATGCAGCACTGATACTGGATAATGATTTAGGTTTTCAATTTTTGTGAGATATAAAGCATATATATTTTGATGATTATTATTACCATTTACAATTAATCTGAATTGATTTGTTATTTATAAATTTAGGTTTTTTTAAAAGACTTTTCTAAACAGAATTGACAGAATGTCTTAGAGACTGTCCTTTCCCCTCGCCTTCAGATTTTGAGTGGTTTTCGAACTTTTCTTCCGTTGTGTAGGCAGTCATTAATTCAAATTTTAAAGCACTTGACACGCACTCTCTGAACTGCTTACGTAGCTTATTGTAAAGAAAACACTCCCGAGAAAACAATTCTGAATTTAAACCATCGTGTAAAATCTCCCCTGGTTTAATTTTGAACTATAGTTGGCGATTGTTAACAAATCTTGAATTGACAGATTTATCTGGCACATTTACGCAAAACCTTGCGCTATATATTGCAGATATTGCACTGATTTTTTCAAACGGTGTATGTGTTGAACTTACCGAGTATAAATACAGATTGGCGCCCACTTTTCCATCTTTGGATACGAAAGGCTGCTCATCGGTGGGTTCTCCTGTAATTATAAGAATGACCAAAAATGCTATTAATTAACGGTATCGAACATCGGAATGATTAAAACATAAATCGCATAAGCACCCCAGATTGAGAATAAAAATAGTTGCTATAGCTTTTTACTCCAGTTGACATATAAGCGGGGTGTATTTAGGTAGCTGCATATTTATTATACAGAGACGACACAGCGAAACCGGTGAAGGCGTGCTCAAGTGTGTACGAGCGTAGGCGGAAGGGGATCCGCCCTCGACCAGCTGCAGAGAGATTGTGCGGCAGGTTTTCCTCGATATATGCACTTTGACTGATGCATGATGCATGACAGCCAGTAGTGGGCGGTGAAGATGAACTAGCTGCTAGCGCAAATCAATACTTTTCCCGAGGAAATATGGAAGGTGGGTGCAGGCAACGCAGGAAGTTCCACGAGAGCTCTTCTGAATTGCGGTGGATGCATGAAAGGCATATTTTTTTCATTGCTAAACTCTTGTTCACATTCGTTAGCGAGTCCTGTATGGCTTTTGTTCTGGGAGTCATGTTTGTACTCTTGATGAATGCGCTGGCATAGTTTTGCATGATCGATATTTTTAATTGTGGCTACTTCTCTTTCATCACGTTTAATTTTTGTTTTGTTTCGATTCGAAAATGCATTCAATGAGCTATTTTTCAGAATTTTTACATTTGGGTTCACGGAAAGATAAGCTAATTGATTGAATTTATGTTTCCCCGAAGGGGTCGATGAAATGAGACTATACAAGTTATATGAAAACATAATGATTCATTGACCTGTGAAATTGATGAACATAAAATCGAAACAATTCACGTTTATCCGTGGAAAATATGCGCACATATCGGTACACTCGCCCTCGCATATGAAAGTCGAGGGGAAGGGCAACCGTGTTCAATTGGATGCTTGTTGTCACGGCTGGATGCCTCCGCTTCGGATTAATCCGTGAACCGAAAAACAACGAGCAGCATCAGCAGGAGGCAAGCGAATTGAGCGCGACAGGTTCAGCATAATCCGAAGTGACGGCAGGTGTCAGGCTCGGGGATGTCATTGTCATTGGCTAAGGGCAACATGTGTTTGGTTTTTGTTTGTTCGGGCGTGTTGAATGGAAAAATTAAAAAGATAATAATTGAGAGGAGCAGTGGCATGTGGCATGACAGTGAGATAATTATTAGATCGCTGTATAAGTGGGTCGTAAATTGCGATTAAACTCGAAATTAAATGGTGTAATGGTGATCCCCAGCGACAGGAGGCTTTAGTGAGGATTCTGCGGGAGAGCTGAGCAGCATTGCATCACAGAAATAATAAAAATGTAGACAAGTAAGACAAACAGGTTTATATATACAGTATGTATATCAATGACATTGTACAGATTTAAATTAACCAAATAACCCAAATTTAATAATCTGTTCAACAACTGGTTCAGACTATCTGCCAGAGCCAAAGATCGTGTGGCAGATAGAAGAATATCAGCTCACAAGGTAGGGTTAACTACCCCATTTCCGGCCTATTAAGCACAACCCGCCCTTAGTCTTTTTTAATCTAGCGTATTTTAGCACCAAACGGAATGTTATTATTACTGATGGCTTCCAAATTTATTTACCTTTCTGTATGTATCGTAAGATTTGATAAAGAGAAACCAATCGTTGATATATTGTTAAAAGTCTAACACTGCTTCTTGACATCAAACTCGGCCTACTGATTCTAAACTCGGCCTAATGCATTGAAACGCCATTGAAACACCAATGAATTCACTTCAGCCTATCGGATGAAAACAAAAATTGATTCGGTCGGAGCGCTTCTTTTGTTTTTGGTAATATTGGGTGCAAACTTTCATATCCCGCGATCTTTGACTTTGTTCTGTAGCATTTGAACTAATGTATAATACCAAAATCATAATTTACCTGTTAACACCGAAATCATGGATTTATTTGATGTTTTCTGTTTGATAGGCCCAAAATGGGCGATTAGGCCGAAGTAGTTCTCTACCCTATTAGTGAAGAAAATAGAAAAAGCGAATCCTCGACGTACATGGTAACTCCCTCTAGCTGCGGTGATCATCCCGAACAAGCAAGAAACAAATGATATGGTCCGCGCCCACGAAGGAAGATGGCATCTCCTTAAATTCACTACGCTTAAAAGGCCCGAACTCAATGTAACTCCAGTGTACTTTGTCGTCTTCGGATTGCAGCACTGAAAACGAATCTTACACAGAGAGTGAGTCACTTTTACTCATTCGTATGGATACATTCGTAAAAGTGTAGGATACTCATATTCTGAGTGACGTACGCGTTTAGAAATTTCGCCATACGAATGAGGGAAAGTGACTCACTTTTTGAGTTAGTTTCATTTTCAGTGAGCAGTATACATTGGAAATACCTCGCGTGTTTCGCAAGGATGTTGCTACCTTTGGAGTGACGTGCTCACCAGAACAGTACATTCCGTACATCAATGCTCGATTATTTGAAAATGAGTTCCGTTGTCAACTGCTAATTCCCACTGCTAAAAAAGGACGTCCTTTGAGCTTTGTATCCTTCAAAGTACTAGTATTGGATAACCCAATTTTCACTAACACCATCACCAAAAATGGATTCTGGCCCAGTTTTGTCAGCGTTGCCCCATTCGAGCATCACCTTCGGAAGTGGCAATCTGAGCTTGTTTTCTCAGGTAATTGCGCAAATTGTATATGACCTACCGAAGCAAGAAATGATCACAACACTGCCGTAAAAAGTCCTTTCGAACTTTCATCCACTCTGATTACAATGCTCAAATGACTGAGCTTGGTTTCTCAGGTAATTGCACGAACAGTATATGTCCTACCGTAGCAGGAAATGATCACTAAACATCCGTACATAGTACTCCGAAAATTTCAGTCATTCCCCGGCATGATGACTCTAATAAAAACAACGGTAACGCATCCAGGATCCAGGAAATATTTGCTGTATTACCAAAACATTGAAGGCATGATTAGAATCGTAGCTGAGTACAAATTGGCCTGCTCGGATGCTTGTTACGATATGCACGCCTTCATCGAAACTTGGTTGAACAGCAACACACTTTCTAAGCAAATATTTGGGTGGCTGTTACCCTACCGTTGAAAGTGGTCTTCATTTGCGTGTTGTATTTACCCTCGGATCGACTTGGCGATGCTGAGTTGATCGACCAACACGTTGATTCACTTTGTTGGGTTGTATCCAAGATGAATGCGACTGACGAGATCCTTGTTGTTGGTGATTTAAATCTTCGTTTAGTCAGTTGCTTTCCTACAACCGACAACGAGGCAGCGGTTCCATCTGGAGTGGATTCACATGGCCGAATTGTGTTGCCCTTGTTGTAGCGCGTTTGTTGGTTTCGGTTGCTTATTCTCGAATTGAAAGCAGAATTTGAAAATAATTACCGAGAAGAGTGGAATGTTTGTTAACACGGTGCAGTTTCGTTTCTTAGCGGGTGGTCCTGGGCCGTCTTGGTTCGAGATCGGCGGATTTGTGAAGCAGTTGGACTCTGATGTGTTGGAAATGGACACGACATACAAAATATTGGACAACAAATGTGTGTATATCAAGTTCATGTCACTGGAGGCAATGGAAGAAACGCTACGAAGGAACACGGATACCCCAAAGTTCCACTAGGCAAACGGAAAAGTCAGTGGAGGTGCGCATGTCAATCGCGGGGACAGGTGCGCATGTCAATCTACCTCCAGAAGTAACAGACAACGAACTATCATTGGAGTTTGGTAAATCCGTGAAAAAAATTTCCTGTGGAGTCGGGCCTCGATCACATGTATACTGGCGTGCGAGGTTTGTAAATTGATATCGAGGAGGATATTCCACCGACGCTGGATTTCCTTAATCGAGAAGGAAAAAGTGTTTTTGTGCCAATCGGAAGGGCATCGTAGAGATTCTTGTCCATCTCGGAAAATCGGGAGCCAACATGAAAAATGGAAACAAGAGAAGGGTCAAACCAATTCCTATGCAGTAGTCGTTGGAAAAAGAGTGGTGTCAAATGAAACGCAAATTATGGAGGAAGAAGTCATCGAGGTACTAGAAGAGGAGATCAACGAAAATACACCGGAAATGGAAACAGTGAAACAGCAGAATGGAATTGTACACAAGAACCACAATGTTACGAAAAATATGGTATCAAAGACTATTCTGAAAAAGTGACAGAGCTGAGTGTTGCATCCAGGAACACGTGCGAAAACAGCAGCGATGGGATCGGCTGACTATGACAGGATCCACCGAACATTCGCCCTCGAAAAAGAGCTCTCGTAAGAGCTCAAGATGATCATCTACTAGTAAACCGCTAGAATTACGTACATTTTGTAACTTTAACATGAAATATCGGCTCCGTAAAGCTAACGCAATTGAGCCTTACTAATAAAAAAACTAAATTTTTTTTTTGTTGCTTTAGTCGACTGGTCATCGAATGCAGCTGGGTACATTCATCCTCTCTCTAATGGTTCATATATTACACCTCTAGTAGTATCTCTCCTAGATTGCTACACATACTGCTGATCTTCTGCAACGGAACGGGATCTCCAATGAAAATCATAGACTGCTTGATCTATGCTTCCTGAACAGTAAACTCGCCTCTAATTGTTCGATCCAAGAGGCACCTAGTTCAGCGTTGTAGACAACATTCACCTCTGCAGTTATAATTACACTTATATCGGGTTACCGTGGACAGCGTTTCGTATGACTACCGAAGGACTGACTTCGAGGGAATGGAAACCTTTTTCAAAAACATGAGCTGGGACGATGAACTCATAGATCGTGACGCGAATGCTGCCTCTTCTGTTTTCTCGAATATTGTCGTCTATGCGATCGATCAGTTTGTACCCATGACAACTTCACCCATATATAATAACCTTCTTAGGTCAAACCAACGACTCAAGCGACTGAAGTTAAACTTTGTAAACTTCGAACGGAGGCATCGTAGAAAAAGTACAACCTCGTTAACAAATAGTATATGCGCACAACAAACAGCTTTATCAAGCCCAT